GTCAAGTCTCAAGTCACAACTCTTTCTCTCTGTCGTAGTCTGAGAAGTCAGGTGGCGAGAGGGTGAGAAGAGATGGTGGACTTAGAAGAGGAAGAAGAAGAACTCTCTCTCTCTGTGTGTCCCAGTACTAACCTGTGAAGTTGGCGCCTTGATGCAGGTACCTCGAAGATGGAGCTGGAGCGATGGCGCCACAGGTAAGTATCACTGGCCTCCGCCAGTGTCTCTCCCAGCTCTACTGCCTACCACCTACAGCGCCCAGCGCTGAAGACTACTGCTATGGCTATGGCGTCCAGCGCCGAAGACTACAGCTAGCGCTGAAGACTACTGCAGCGCTCCTCCTGAGTGTTGCGGCCGAAATCTGAAGACTACCGTCCTACTCTCCGACTGCCTAGCCGTTCAGTGCCTGAAGCTCCTATGTACTATCACGGGTGCCTGCTGACTCGGGCGAGCAGTCCAGGAGGCTGCTCTTGCCAATAATGTCGAAGGGAGGCAGGGGCTGCAGCTCCTGCTCGTGCTCTTGCCAATAATGCCGAAGGGAGGCAGGGGCTGCAGCTGCAGCTCCTGCTCGTGCTCTTGCCAATAATGCCGAAGGGAGGGAGGGGCTGCAGCTGCAGCTCCTGCTCGTGCTCTTGCCAATAATGCCGAAGGGAGGCAGGGGCTGCAGCTGCAGCTCCTGCTCGTGCTCTTGCCAATAATGCCGCAGGGAGGCAGGGGCTGCAGCTGCAGCTCCTGCTCGAGCTGGCGTGGGAACAGGCCAGAAATAGCCTGTTCCGAAACCCAGTTTTCGTTCCTGAATCTTAGGGCAGGTCGAAACAAATGAGGGCCTAAAAATAGCCCAGGGCCTAAGAATAGCCCTCCGTTTCAGGCTGGAAAAACTCTGGGTCTGAAAGACCCAGAAATAGGCTGAAACGGCGTAGGGCCTGCAGGCCCTCGTTTTTCAGTTTTCAGGCTGAAACGACCGGGGCTTGTAGATCCTAAGTTTTAGGCTTTTAGGCTGAATGTCCGGGACGGGTCCTACAGGGCCCGTGTGGCTACGCAGTATGCCACAAGAAAGCTCTGGACGTGAATGCAGTCAGATGCATCCACGCCCGGGTGGTCACAATACATTTAGGAAAGCGCTCGTGTGAATATGGCCTCTGTACCTTATCGCGGTCAGATAGATCAGACAGGCCTGTGATCTTGGTCCACGATGTCATATACCCCAAACCAACACTTTACGAAGATTCCATTTTGCCACCTCGTATATGATGGATTTGATCTCGCCGCCTCATATATATCATAATATCGATGATTTGTACGGCGCTAAACCCCCCCTGCTCCAAGCTGCTTAGCAGATAGTGTTAATGCCTCCCCTCCTCTCTTAATCCTTCAACCACTGGACCACACATCATGGTCGAACCTGCCTATGCTATTCACTTTTACATCTGGCCTGCATGTCCTTTCAATTGGCCAGCGTTCGACTGTTGAGGACAGAAGAGCAACCCTGTAGACTGTGGGACTTTGAGCCTTTGAGGGCATTTATCTAAAGCGTGTGCAAACTTGTCTGTACAACTAGACAGTGCTCCAAGCGATTTACAACATAGTGTTATAGTGTTAATGCCACCTCCCTCCCTTGAGTCTTCACTTGTCTCTACAACTTGACAGTGCTCCAAGTTATTTCAAACAATTGGTAAATGTTGAAAGAAGCCAACGACTGCTAAGTTAGCCTCACCCGACCGACCGAGCAAAACCGATCGACCGAGCCAAACTGACCGACCGAGCAAAACCGCCCGCCGCGCAAAACCAACCGACCAAGCAAACCGACGGAATGCAACGTGCTCTTTCGAGTCCATCGATTTACGACCGCGCAAAACCGACTGACCGAGCAAACGGAATGCAATGTGCTCTTTCGAGTCCATCGATTTACGCTCCTTTCCGTCTGCTGACTGTGTACGCAACGAGACCAGCGCTGCACTGCACACCTATTATTTAGTGTTAATGCAGCCTCCCTCTCTTGAATCTTCAATCTTAGAACCGCATCATGGTCGACGATATATATGCTATTCGGTTTTACATCAGGCCTGCATGTCTCATCAATCAGTCGACGCTTGGCTGCTGAGGAGCGAGGAGCAACCCTGTGTCTGTCTGTGGGACATGAGAGCAGCTACCTAAAGCGTGCGCAAACTTGTCTGTACGAGGAGAAACCCTACCCGTGGGCCTTGAGAGCAGCTACCGAAAGCGCGCGCAAACTGGTCTGTACGACTTGACAGTGCTCCAAGCTACCAAGAATGTAGTGCTGCACCTCTTGTACATCTTCCCAGCCCCAACTCGATAGTCGGAATCAATCCAATCAAGAGATTTCAGGGACTAGGGCAGGTGCTGGAACACAATGGCTGGCGGTGCCAGCCAAAAAAGAAAAGACGTTCGCCTCCGGCGGTTCGGCAAACCTCGGCATGCAGTGGGAATCCGCCAGCCATTGTGTTCCACCTGCACGCTAAGCTTGGCCGAACCGCCAGTGGCAAAAAAAGCCTCGGGTGTGCTGGCGGTAGAGTGCCTCCCTCTCTTGAGTTTGGACCACATCATCCTCCAGCTGCACGCCAAGCTTGGCCGAACCGCCAGTGGCCAAAAAAGACTCGGGTGTGCTAGCGGTAGAGCGCCTCCTCCCTCTCTTGAATTTTCAGTCATAAGACTTCCAAAGAAGTTTTTATTTCTCTCAAGGACGATACTTAACAAATTTTAATCAAATGCCATCTTTTGCTAGTTTTGAAGATGTCATCAAAGCAAGAGTAGAAAGAAAAATTCATCTTTCTACTTCTTTATGGTTAAAATTAAGAAACATAGAAGCTATAACATCGTATTTGCACATCATCCTCCAAGCTATGTATGCTATTTTGTTTTACATCTGGCCTGCAGGTCTCATCAATGAGTCAATGCTAGACTGCTGAGGAGAGAGGACCAACGTTCTCTGTAGGAATTGAGAGCATGTACCTTAAAGTGTGAGCAAACTTGTTTGTACCACGTGACAGCGACTGACGTGCAGAAACCAGTCTACAGCACTCGGTGGTGTCGAAAGGGTGCAATGGATTGCACCGAACACGTGTACGACTACTGTTCGACTACTGTTTCACCCAGATAAAACGCCTGGTCCGTGTGGGTGTATTCGGTGCAACATTCAGTGCAGATGCAGCGATAATCACCAGGCATTCGGTGATAATCACAATGTAGTGATCTGTAGTACGGCTTAAAGCAAAATGTGCAGTATGCTATAAATTGCTACCAGTCTACAGCACTCAGTAGGGCGCAACACCGATTCTCAGGCATATTTCCGATTCTCACGAGCAAAGCGGATGTAACCAACTGGCACGTGGCAACTGTCTGGCACCCACCAAGATTTGCAAAAATTGTCAAGTTCAAGGCCCATTGAGATTAAGGGGGCCCGCCTTCACTTACGGCGGGCACGCMCCYGCTGCAGGGCCCAWATGCCGARAARCCYCYCGTMAAAAAAAAAAAAAAAAAAAAAAAAAAAAAAAAAAAAAAGAAGCCTCTTGTTATCCATTTGATACGGTCGATACGGGTGAAGAAAATCGCCGAGCAGTGTCATTAGAGTAGAAGCATACTGCATACATACAACAAACATGCGCGGCAAGTTCTTTGTGACTTCTTGCCTGTCCATGTTGGAATTGGTTATGGACTCTGTCCAGACGCCACTTTGTGACTGGTATCGGGGTGAAGTGCGTGGCAGGGAGGTCACGGGTTATCCGTACTGAACCCATCCGAATTGGTTTTCCATTTTTAAGTTCGTCGTGACTTCTTACCCGTCCGTCTTGGAATTGGGTATGGGTCATCCCCGTACTGAGGACAACGGAACCTTATCCATCCATCCGAATTGGTTTTCTTTGTTCAAGTTTGTCTCGACTTCTTACCCGTCCGTCTTGGAATTGGTTATGGGATCTGTCCAGACGCCTCTTTGTGACTGGTATCGGGGCAAAATGCGTAGCAGGGAGGTCGTGTTAGTGGGTCGTCCCCGTACTGAGGACAACGGAACCTTACCCATCCATCCGAATTGGTTTTCTGTAATCTGGAACTGTTCACTTATCCGTAAATCACTGCTGGTGAAAGGCATTCCGCAATGCAGATCCCAACTTCGAGTTTTGGGGTCACGGTCTCAGGCCAAGGAAGGCCAAGCCGGCCAGTTCAGAAAGGTCACAGTCGGGTACCTTAGGAGTCGAGTCCAACAGGCACCCGGTAAACAGTCACAGCCTTTGAGTTTCAGTCTTGCGACCATACTCCCCAGGCGGAGTGTTTAACGGGTTAGCTAGGTCCCTCATCGAATCGCCCCCAAAAACCACCGGGCGTAGTCGGGTACCTTAGGAGTCAAGTCCAACAGGCACCCGGTGAACAGTCACATCCTTTGAGTTTCAACCTTGCGACCGTACTCCCCAGGCGGAGTGTTTAACGCGTTAGCTAGGTCCCTCATCGAATCACTCCCAAAAACCACCGGGCGTAGACCAAGGACCAACACTCATCGTTTACGGCATGGACTACCAGGGTCATTTTGAATTTAAATAAAAAATGGACTAGAGGCAAAGGTTGCATTTTATAAGCGACAGTCACGTCTCATATTGAAAAGTCATATCCCACAGGCAAAGGACACTTATCCAGGCAAGAGTTGTGTCCCAGAGGCAAGAGTCACATCCCACAGTCAAAAGTCATGTTCCACGGATGAGAAGTCGTGACTCACAGACCCAAGCAGCACCACAGCAATGAAAATTCGGGAAAAGTACCAGGTCTTGACATTCTGAAGCGAGCAGGCCATGGGCATATGGTATCGGGCCCAAGTCAAGCCAAGGGAAGTAGAGGCTGGGACGAGTTGAGGCTCAGTCCAAGTCAATATAAGGACTGGCTAGCCACATTTCAGGGGAGATTGCTCATTCGTGAGAAATGTGGAAGTTCTGCTGAAGCGCTTGTGTGCTATCTGCGAGTAGCATGCGCGCGAGAGCCCTGCTGGGCAGCGCTGCACTGAGAGGGAAGGCGGCCATAGCCGCATAGCTAGAGTGACAGGAGATAGAGCTGAGTGGCAGCGGATGTATTCAGAGTCGAGATCCTCGAGTACGGATAGAGAGGGAGGACAAGTAGGGGGAGTTAGTGAGCATATGCATGAAGAAGACAGAGAGAGACGAGAGCCACCTACCTTGGATGAGGATGCTGGACTTGGGTTGCTGAACTCTGCACTGATGAGCGCTGGTGACTGGAACTCTGAAACTGCTTAATTAGTTAACATCATAATATGACAATTTGTCGGAATCTCTAAGCTGCACTTATTTTGGGCTTTGCATCTCTGGTCTCCAGTGTGGATTCCGTGTCGTCTCTCAATGTGTGTGTCTGCTTAAGGTGAAGAGCAGTGACTGGACAGGCAAGTGGCCGACTCAGAGGATGCTGGATGGAGGAATGGCTGGCTGGCCGCCGTACATAAGGCATTCATGTACCAACATTTCCTTGCACAATAAATCATGAAAGTTACGTAGTAGTGGGGACCTACGACCCGCTGTTTGAGAGACACGAAGAAGGGTTTGGAGAGAAGAGGAGATGTGGCGAGAAGAAGCAAGCCTCTCAACAAATATTATTCAGGGGGAAAAAAAAAAGGTTAAAAGACGTACATCACGTGAAAACTACAACCCCCCATGCCATGACAGAGGATGGGTCATGTGAAAACTACAAACCCCATGCCACGACAGAGGATGTGTCCTGTGAAAACCACTACCCCCGATGCCATGACAGAGGTCATGTGAAAACGAGAGCCGCCTGGCTCTATGCTCATGTCAGAAATGTCATGTGAAAACTACAAACCCCATCCCATGACCGAGAACGTGCAAATTCGGTGCAATGTGAAAACAACTAACCCCCATGCCCATGACATAGGTCATGTGAAAACAAGAGCTGCCGAGCTCTGTGCACAGATCAACAAGGGGGTTCGCGGACGATTGGTTGACATGTGGAACGGAGGCTGGGAAAGATGAAGGAAGAGTCAGCCTGGTTGCTTGAGAGACAAAAGAGCAGAAAACACCACCACCATTTACAGCTGATTCTAGAAACATCTTGAAATTGAAAAGGAGTTCTCATATGAACAAGTTAGAACAACAGTGATCAACGGAACTGGAGGAACAACTCCAAGAAATGTACACTGCAAGATACCTGGCCCGACCATAAAACACAAACCTATTTCTCTCCCCGTCCCCGCCCCCCCCCCCTCTCTCTCTCTCTCTCTCTCTCTCTCCCCCCCCTTGTGTGCTTGCTTTTGCTTCTGTTCTCAGCGATACACACTTTCCCATCTCCACGTCCAACACTGTTTGCACTCTTCAGCATTTCGGTGGCCATAGGAAGGACAGAGATAGAAAAAAGATTGGCATTCGCAGACTACTCACCACACTTTCAATTGGCTGTCACTTGGCCGACTCTGGCACACCACTCTTGGTGCAGCATCATCATCCATATTTTGTACAGATCATTGGGGTATTGTCAATGCGAACTCATTCATATCGTTGCAACGCACGATGCGACTCGGACAAAACACTGTTGGTGCTGGAAATCCACGCAAATGTCTACTTGCGCAGCTGCTCAGAACTGTTGTGTCTTTCGTAGCGACGCATGACGCGACTCGCGACAAAACACGGTGGAAGTGCTGGAAACACAGTGTCCCAGCAAATGTCTACTTGCGCAGCTTCCCAAAACTGCTGTGCCCTTTGTGGCAACGCACCGACGCGACTCCTGACAAAACGCGGTTGAAATGCTGGAAACACAATGCGCAACCAGATTTCTACACTTGTGCAGCTGCCCCCAAATCTGTCGTGTCCTTGCCAGAAGCTCTCTGATCTGCCCAGTAGGCGAAAAAATAACAGATCCGTACTAGATTCTCTGCACTCATGTCAGCTCTGTCGAGAACCATCATGTCTGTGCAAGACTCTACGCCACGGATTCATCACCATCCCACCACCAGAAGCTGTCTGCCACAGAGTCCAGGATCTCGGAAGATGAAACGCGCCTAGGACCAATTACCCGCTCTTTCCCTAACCGCCTGGAGGGACAATGTCCCCACACTCTAGCAGCTGCCAAGTTCTCTGCCATGTCGTCAAGGACGTGGAGCGAGGAAAACCATCTGGAACCAATTACCCATTCTTTCCCTAATTGCCTGGAAGGATCATGTCTCTGCCAGAAGCTACGTGCAGAATGCTTGTTGCCTGCTGCCCGAGAGCGTATGTCTCTCTGTCAGAAGCTGTCCGCCAACGAATAATCAGGAAGAACAAGAACCGCCAATTGCGGAAAGGCAGGCAGGACATGCAGAGTTTCATTCCAATACTTCCTGTTGCCTGGTGCTGGAGTCCCCAGAGAATTGTCATTCATAAACACTTCATCGTTCACAAATTCGAAAAACGCACGATGCAGTCAGCCTCAGACTGGTGGTGCCCACATTATCCTGTACTTAAACACACAATGCAGCGAGCTTCGACGGGCTGCGTTCACATTTTTCCATACTCGCCGGAGGCGGGACATGCAGTTCACATTCCGATACTTCCCATTGCCTGCCATGCTTTACCATACATTTTATAAACCGGAGGCGGGACGGAGGCGGGACGTGCAGTTCGCATTCTGATACTTCCCGTTGCCTGGCACGTGCTGGAGCCGCCAGAGAATTGTCATTTATAAACGCTTACCGTCATCGTTGACAAGTTCAGAAAAGACACAATGCAGTGAGCACCTGACTGGCTGCCCTCACATTTTCCTGTTGCTTGTTGGAAGCCCTGGGGGCAGGGAGGCAAGTCCTCGTGTGTTCACTGGGTCGGAACAGCCTACACGAACTGGGACTGAACTCACCCTTCTCTCCGAACCCCTTCGCTCTGCACCAACGGGAGAAAGACCATCAGGACATGCACGTCCCATTCTCACGTTCTGTTGTCTGGCGCTGGTTGTGCCAGTGAATGGTGCATAATAAACACAGTTCAGAAAACAGCATATGCAGTGAGCCTCACATTGTCCTGTACGTGTCTGATGTCTCAGGGGGTCTGTGCGTTCCCATCCTGCTCGGAGACCCTACACTAACTGGGACCGAACTCATCTTTCTTTCGGAATCCTCGGTTTCAGTTGAAGATTCACCGACAGACGCCTATTTTTCTTGGGCCAGTTGCACCCCAAGTGTCACACGGTCCGACTCAATGTCTTGCAGACCTCCAGCCAGTCGCACGTTCATAGCCCAACCATCCTCCAACTCTTACTGCTCCTCTCCTCACTCCTCTCCCCGCTCCTCTCTTTCCTCCCAATTCCTGATAGAGTTTACCCCTGATCCTTGCACGGTTGGAAGCAATCTCTGTAAGCGTTGTTCTCAGACTAGGGGGATACCAGTTTGCCATCTACCGTCTTTAGCTGAATAGAATGCCCAGTCATTATCGCCGTATTTGGGGCACTCTCAGTCTAGGTGCGGCGATTATGACGGGGCATTCAATTCGGGTGAAAACTGTAGGCCTTGCCAACAGAAAGAATTGGTCGAAGTCCTGGTACAATCTCCCTTTCTGAGCACTCCCATTGACGACTATAATTGTCACTGTCAGAGAGGAGAGCAATCCCTGGATGGATTCCTCCTGTCGTGTCCATATCCTCTCTCTCTCTCTCTCTCTCTCTGTGTGACAACCCAGTGCAAATAGGAACACTTGAGGAGTTCCCCCACATTCCACAGACTCAAGCCAATGAAATGATGGATCTCATCCGCGTTCACCATCGTACTGACATCTCAACCGATCTGCAGTCATCAGGCGAGACCGGGTTCTCACCAGGTATGACATCCTTCCATACAACCATCCATCCATTAGCTTCCCAATGCCTGTGTCCCACCATTTTAGGGAGGACAACAATAATTTCCTGGTCCCAATCTGGTACTCCTGCTCTCTGGTACCCTGCTGCCAAACCACTTGGAGGAGAAGACCACAAGCCCCACCTGAGCCATTCAGTGCCAAATATAGTTCCTCTTCATTACCCGTTCGCCACCCACTTCTCATCCATCATCAGCCAAGATTGAACCAGATTGGAACAAAGACCGACCCTTTGTCATAGGTACCACTCACCAGTGATCAACCCAATACATGCCTGATCCATCCATCCATCCATCCATCCATCCATCCAGCCAGCCAGCCAATAAGGGTGTTTCGGCCATCCATTAGATGTAGCAGACGACAATCTATCTATCGAGCCGGCCAGCCAATAAGGGCGTGCTTCATTCATTGGTCACATGGTAATGGACGACAATCGCCATGACTGGCATGCAGAATTTCAACAATGCACACATGTGTGAAACTCCCCTGTTGCGATTTCACCGCACAAAACGCAGCAATCCAAATCAGCGCTAAAGCGCAGAGCTGTTAAGAACACAACTGGCTTGCTGCTGTGTTGACGACCAATGGAGGCATTTGCACCGCATGGCTATGAAGTAGAGACCAGCGATAACAGAGGCCATGGCCCATGGGAAGGACCGTTCCTGACGATCAGCCACCCACCAAAGTAGTAGGCGTGTTGATCCCATCTGGCTGCTCTGTTGACGACCAATCTTAATGGAAGCATTTGCACCACATGGCTATAAAGCAGAGACAAGCAACGCAGCCAACGCTCATGACAGGGGCAATGGGAAGGGGGCGTTTCTTACCATCAGCCACCCACCAAAGTAGTAGGCGTGTTGATCCCATTCGATTGTGAACCAATGCCAACCTGGTGTTTTGGAGAACCAGTGTTGTTAATGATGACACCATCAAGAACCATCGCTCAAATCGTCGTAAGGACTAGAGTAGGTGTACTTCCGGTTTCTCAACCAATCCACCATCTCCTCATCCACCTTGCCATCAAACACAGCATCAAAGAAAGGAGATCCATACAGAGAATGCGACTTGTACTTCCAAAATGACTTGTCGGGTTTCGGCCAGGGTTTAAGCTTTTCGCCCGCCATCTGTTAAGCAACAACCCACACAACAAAAACACCCACCATGCGAAAATCCCAAGTGCATCAACCATGAGCCAAAGAGACACAGAAACACTACCCTGGAAGGTGTGCACCCTCTCTCGAAATTCCATACAGAGAATGCGACTTGTACTTCCAAAATGACTTGTTGGGTTTTGGCCAGGGTTTAAGCCTTCTGCCCCCTATCTGTTAAGCAACAACCCACACAACAAAAACACCCACCATACAACAATCCCAAATGCATCAACCCTGGAAGATGAGCACCCTCTCTCCAAGTTCCGTACAGACCCCAATGCGACATGTATTTCCGAAATGACTCGTCAGCTTTCGACCAGGGTTTAAGCCTTTTGGTCCCCTATGTTTTTGTTCTGTTAAGCAACAACCCACACAACAAAAACACCCACCATACAAAAATCCCAAGTGCATCAACCATGAGCCAAAAAGACACAGGAACACTACCCTGGAGGATGTGTACCCTCTCCAAATTCCATACATAGTGCATCAACCATGAGCCAAAAAGACACAGGAACACTACCCTGGAGGATGTGTACCCTCTCCGAATCCCATACAGAGCCCGATGCAACTTAAATTTCAAAAATGACTCGTCAGCTTTCAACCAGGTTTAAGCCTTTTGCCCCCTATCTGTTAAGCAACAATCCACACAACAAAAACACCCACCATATGAAAACCCCGAGTGCATCAACCATGAGCCAAAAAGACACAGCAGCACTACCCTGGACGATTGCACCCTCTCTACACTGCATAAAGAGCCCAATGTGACTTGGATTTCCAAAATAACTTGTCTGGTTTTGGCCAGGCTTTAAAGTTTTAACTTTTAAACCTTTTGACCCTGTCTTGCTAAGCAATAACCAACGCACAAAGCGGGTGAAATGCAGGGGTGAGATGGGATGCGTAAAGATCAGTGCGAGGGTAGTTACGAACGAAAAGCAGGACACAAGGACGGAGCAGAAAGAGCAGCGGGATTGCACAGATGAAGGGGAAACTATAAGCCACCTTGACTGCAGGCAGTGGAAAGAGCTTGCTCACTCACCAGACGCTGCAACATCTGCTCACGACACTTGGCACCATAACTCGGCCTCAGCGCAGATGAACGCTTCTTTGCATAACATGAAGATGGGTCCGGAAGCACCAGAAAACCCCTTCTATCGGTCTGGAGAGCATGACCAGGATCTGCAACAGTTTGCTTGAACCAGAAAACTAGTTGGCCCCAGATGTAATCTCGTGGGTACGACTTCGTGAACTCCGTTTCCTTGGGCACATCCCCCCAGCCACTGGCTGGATTCAGGCCGAGATCCAATGCATGTATCATCACAGGTGGGGAATAAAACTTCGCATATTCCTACCACGAGGAGAGGAACACCAAAAAGCAAAAGGAAGCACAAATCGAAAACAAAAACAGAAAGAACATCAGGATTTGCATCAACCATGGGGACTTCCAATTTCTTAGCAAATGACAAACTCCGTACGGTGTACACCTAATCCCCCCCCCCATGGTTATGCCGAGTGCTCATCAAGATGGACCCATACACACTGTGGATGCACGCACGACATCCCAACTTCAGGCACTGTCGGCTTCATCCACATGTTGTCCAGACAGTTCATACACCTGGCATCCACCTGGATGCATGGATCTGTTCCAATTCTAGAAAGAGAATCCCCCCCCCCCTCTCCCCCTTCTTTTTTCTCAGGCTGAAGTAACAGCCGGAGAGCAAGAAAGATTTTCAAGAAAGACAATGTCCGTCATAACTATGTTTGTGATTGTACAAAAGAGAGAGAGAGAGAGAGAGAGAGAGAGAGAGAGAGAGAGAGAGAGAGAGATGGGAGACCAGACTGTTAGAGACTGGCATAAGAGGCCAGTCAGGGGTCAGTTTGCTGAGAAGAATGAGCTGAAGAGCAGGCATTGCCTCTCGTAAGTAGCCAGCCCCCTGCCGACCGGACGGGAACAGTTCGGGTGTGGCCTGTGAAACCACCACATCCAATTCTGGTAGCTGCAGCCACTGTGCCAAATGACACAGTGCAGAGAGATGTCACAGGCAACACGGCTCCCACATGCTCAGGTGAGGGTGTTGTACACGAGTACACGTTAATTGTCCTCATAGGTATGAACTTACTATGAAGACAAAACCTTGCATGCGTGTGTACCCTCATAATGCTCACAGCACAAAGAATGCCAATCGCGTCCTAGCCGAGCATCAAGCGGATCATTGGAGTGCGGCCTTGAGCAGCTCTCGGGGGAATCTCATGTGCCTGGTGTATGGCCTCTGAGGATTGGACCATATCATCACAATTGGTAGTTTCCATGTGGCTGGTCCAATTGGTCCGGACAGAATCAATCGGTAGTTTCCACGTGTCTGGTGTATGGCCTCTGAGGATTGATAGAGACGCTTCGCACACGCCTCCAGCGAGCCTGCTGATTTACTCTACTTGTCCACTCGAGTGGCCTTTCTGCCGTATTTCTCAGTAGTGTATGAAAGAATTGCGAGTGTTCAAGCATATAGCCAGATTTTATATCTTCCCTAGAGTTACTGCACCGATTACAGGGGCTTCCATTCGAAGCTTATGTCACTTCTCCTTGCAGGAACCAGATCCAAAGTAAGGGTGTTTAGCCGTTGCGATACCTGTTCTACCATCGAGATGATAAACTGTCAGCACGGTGCACTACACACGGTCTATGTGAGACCCTGTTCTCTGCACCATGCTGTTGTGTCTGTTCCTCATCCTGTGACGATGGTGACAGTTTGATTGTCAGTGCAGCATAACATGTGGGTCATCAACGAAGAGGATGTCCAGGATGACATGTGGGTAATGAACGGCGAGGATGTGGCTGGAGATGGCCCTGGCAACCGAGTAGCAAGGATGTGGCTGGAGATGGCCCTGGCAACCGAGGATGTGGCTGGAGATGGCCCTGGCAACCGAGTTCATGGTGGGAACAGGAAGTAACACCACACCAGTTTCATCACACAATGGAAAAGTCTCAAGGTACACTTTAGGAAGCTGGTACGCCTGCCGGTCGTTCAAGTGCTGACAGATGCCCTCGTACGAGCACACGAGGGTGCTCTTGGCAGAGGTCAGGGTGAGCACAGCGCAGTGACACCACAACACTGGCGAAGGCCGCTCGAGGAAGCTGGCAGGCCTGCTGGTTGTTCAAGTGGGACAGGTGCTCCCAATATGAGCACACGATGTTACCCATATTCAGGAAATTAAAACCACCAACTACCTCCGAGCGTCTTTTTATCTTGCCCGATATGTGCCACGACCCAAGTTCAACACGACCCGCAGAAAAAACGTTTTTCCTTTTTGGCTAGCACCGCCAGCCAGAGAGGTGCAGGAGGCCGCCCCCCTGAAGAATGTGGAAACATTTGTTTGCATCTGTAGGGTGGTGGTGGTGGTATAAACCACCAGTCGCTTTCCCAGCTATCTTGTTCCAATGTGATAGTTAACCCGCCGCTCCGAAACTGCAAACCAGGCCAAGCAGACAGAAAGACTGGTGGCGCACGCAAGACACCGCTTCCCATGATGTTTCCCCAATACTCCTGAAAGAACAGCGGGTTTGCATAAGCGTCACACGCAAGACACCGCTCCCCGTCTTGAGAAAACTAACATCGGGCCCAAAACGGCAGGTCCAGGAGCAGGGGACACCGCGGGGAAAAAAAGGGGAGCTGGAGAGAAGCAGGGGCGCAATAATGCCATTTGGATGTCGGGAATGCTGCAAGAAAGCTGTGCTCATAACGTTCGGGCAGCGAAGCTTACACTTGTTCAATTGTTCTTCGTGGCTTTCTTCCCTGTACCTTTCCGATCGGATTCAGAGAATTGCCAGCTCTCCTTTTAAGGTGTGGGAGTCTACTGAGCATCGCAGCAGATGTATCCGGTTTCAATTGTTGTCCATTTCGTGGGCAACGACGATTTCACGTCCTATTTGGCGTTTATAGGTCACCGGGTCACACTACGGTTGCGTTATCCCCTGAGAAGCCTAAACCCATAACCAAGTTACTACGGTGTCTCCTACAACAGGTATTGCACTAGCTAAACTTATAATTACATACTTGGTTACCGGACACTATGGAGGCCCCCCCTACCCCAGTATCAGGTCTAATTCATGCAGCTACTATGGTATGATAACAGCAGGTGTTTTCATGATGGCAAGGTGTTCTCCCTTATTTGAATACGCACCCAAGGCTTTTAACTTTAATTGTGATTAATTTTGGGGGAGCTATGATATCCTTTTTTGCAGCAACTTGACGCAACCGAGTACATCTGAGCCTCTTTTCGTTCTGGCGGATTCCGACTGCACCAAGCGTTGACGAACCTCAGGCTGCACACTTTTTCTGGCGCCACCATCAATTGTGCTCCAGTAGCATCGAGCCCCCAAATTGTTTTCTGATTGACTCGATTTTAATTCTCAAGTTTGCCCAACCGATAAGTCGGGCAAGCACCAACCACTGCCAGAAACTGGACTACCAAGAACAGGGTGTATGAATGTAGCCCAAGTTTGCCCGACCGATAAGTCGGGCAAGCACCAACCACTGCCAGAAACTGGACTACCATGAACAGGGTGTATGAATGTACAGTCGAAGCACTGCCAGAACATGATCTTCTTGACATCATGTAAGTTCATTTCCTGGGCCAACCTGAGAATTGTACTATTCCTGATGCACAATGTGTAACTGACCCTTGGTACGTCTGATGCATGAATGGGCAAGCTAAGAAAAATGCAATATTCCTGCGCGAAGCTGATGCCCAAAGATGGGACGTCCGTTAAAATTGGAACGCTGCAGAGAAGATTAGCATGGCCCTTGCGCACGGATGACACACATAAATGGGCAAATGGTCCGCATTAAATAAAAACAAGATGCGACCAACGGTCCTAGCTCAGCCGTTACACCCACAAAGTGAGGAAATAGTACGAATACAGACGCAAAGTTCGAGTCCAGATACAATCAGATGACCAGAATAAAATCATTCTGAATTACCTGGGGCCAGTCAGTTCAATGATGATATCTTAAGACGTTGATGGAATGGTCTCTTTTTTCAAGTTCTTTGTTAAAAAAAAAAAAAAAAGACGAAGAGAGGACAACAAAGAATACAGAGACCGGATGCCTGCGACGAGCAACATGGGTTGTTCTCTTCAGGAAAAGGTTGCGCCAACGGAAAAAGAATTCTGTTGAAGGCCCCATTAAAGAGAGGTTACGTGATCGGGCTCCGTGCCAAAGAAAAAGAAATGCCCCAGTTGCACTGCAGCAGTGTCATAATGTGCACCAGCTGAACAGCATACACAACTGCCAGTCATGGGGCAACAACATGCCACTCGAACTGAAACCCACAAGTCAAGGAAGCATGAATGGATGATTACAGGGAAAAGGAATATAACACGGGCAAAAGGATGATTACAAGGAAATCATACTTACATTGGCAGTGAAAAAACACTTAGTGTATGCGTAAATGTGCATTAGATCTGCTGCAGCGTCATGTCTACACCCTTCTCCACACTTCTGCTGTGCAAGCTCGTCCCTCAACCTGCAGGCATAAACAGTGTCAACAAAAACACCCAGCTGTCGTTTCTACCCATACTCTTTTTTCTTTTTTCTTTTTTCCTTCCTGTTGACTCGACAGTGCCACCTACTCAAAATATCACAGACGCATTTACCAGAGACTACGCTACTACTTTGAGGCAGCCTGCGAGCGCCGCAGAGTTGCGTCACTTCTAGTTTCCAAGGCTCCTTCCTCTTCGAGTGAATCATCACTCTGGAGTCTGAACTAAGGCAAGCCATGGAAGCCGTTCTTCGACTTCCTGTGCTGACAACAACTTGCGATCCAATAGTCAGCATTTGCCACAAAGGTGCTGATGGGGATCAGCCTACAGTCCGCATTTGCCACAAATGTGGGAGAAAGAGGAAAAGCAGAATGTGCTCCCTATACAGACCATAGTGCTTCCTTACCAACAAGAACAAGCAGAAAAACAATTTGTTAAAAAACTACACAGCGCTAAAGAGAGAGGCAAATAAAAACAAGAGTAGTCCTGTAGCTTCTCAAAAGAGACAGAAATAGGCCACAAATTTAAGCAATTACAATACCATCATTGCATAGCCCAATCTATATATCTGGGCATAATGGCTCTGCACGGTTCAAATACATCAGGCGATGACAAATAGGAAGCCTAGCTGTGTCTCTCAGGTGCACCACATAAGAAATAAATTCAAATAATATGATTAAAAAAAAAAAAATACACAAAACACGCACATGCCCGTTTTATTCTGGGTGGAGACAGTCCGATTGCTTATCCCCGGCAAGCATGGCAAAATATTGCAAAGGAAGAGGGGAACAGATCTGTCCCGGTACGGGTCGCCTCAGACAGTGAACCATTATTAAACTGCAGTGGGCGGCAGCCAGACTTCCGTTTACTTGGATTCCACAATCCGGGAGAAGCTCAGGGGGGTCCAAACGATGATCATCTACTCCCCCTGCATCTTAGCAATGCTCCTGTTGCTAGGAGGTTGTCGCTTTTAATCTGGTGGCCACATCAACTCTCCACAGTTTTCCAAGTCAAATGTTTCAGCCTTCTACCAAATTGCACAACCATCTCTATCTAATCAACATTTGCATCATTCATTGGAAATGTCTAAGTTCCCTGCTATTGTATGGACTTCAAGCTTGTGAACAAAGTTCCCTGCTATTGTATGGACTTCAATCTTGTGAACAACTGGAGAGGGAATGTAGACCAAGCAGGGTGCGCCGACCTGATACATAGAGTCAGTCCGTCCTGTATGTCCCACAGGCCCAGTAAGTATCAGAACAGCCATTTTGCACACCTTGTGTCAGCGACTCAGCGCAAGTGTGCCTCTAACCTCCTCCTCCTCCTTCCTTTTCCCCCCTCCTCGTATCTCCTCCCGTTGCACACCACGTGTCAGCGCACCGCACATTTTTCTTTTTTTCGGTGCTAGTCTTTCATTAACGTTTGCCTGTAACCTCCCCTCCTCCCTCTTCCTCCTCCCTCCTCCCCTGCCTTCCTCCTTCCTCCTCCCCTCTCCTCCTTTCTCCCTCCTCATAACTTCTCACGGAGTATGTTTTCTCTTTTGTTGACTTTCTTGAAGTTCAAGTTCTGTCGTACCGTAACCTCTCCTCCTCCCCCTTCCTTCTCCCTCCTCCTCCTCCCCCTCCTTTCCTCCCTCCTCTTTCATCCTCCTGCTCCTTCCTCCTCCTTCATCCTCGTTCCTCCTTGTAACTCCGCCCGTTGCGCGACATGTGTCAGCGCGGGGCATTTTTCTCCTTTTTTTTGTCGACTTGTACCCTCAACCTCCCCCCCCCTCCTCTTTCTCCTCCCTCCTCCTGCTCCTTCCTCCTCTTCCTCCTCCCTCCTCCTGCTCCTTCCTCCTCCTTCTCCTCCCTCCTCCATCCTAGTGAATCCACCCGTCGTGAAGCACAAGTTTCT